CAACCACCTTCCTGTTTTATTCTTTACTTACAAAACCCTGTAGTCCTTTTTTGATTTCTGGCGTGCTTTCGAAGGATATTTTTATTTAGCTGACTCCAGTGCTATATATTAAGTGTTACTGCTTTCCTAAGTTAGAGCCTGTCCTGTATATTACATGATACTCGTCAACTCCCAGTTTCATTTTTCATATTATTACTTCTCATAGCCTCAGGGAACCTTTTGGAACTCTCCAGCTTAATTTTATTTTCACCATCCTGAATACATCATTGCCACCACACTACCTTTCATATCTTTTGGGAATATGCTTGATAGCACAGCCCCCAAGGGACTTAATTACATTGTAAACCTGACCATTGCCTATCTTTTGCTTTTAACTTGTTCTTTTTTGCTTTCATCAGTTTGTTATTAATAAAAAACCCTCCACTGCTCATAGTTTCCCTAAGAATCTTTCATGTACAACCTTATCAAAAGTGTATAAAAATGAGATATGTTACATTAACTAGAGGACTTTGATCTACAAACTTGTTGATGCTTTTGAAAGATTTGAAAGATTCTTTTTCCTTTTCCACACTGGGCCATGTTTATTAACTAGCACCAACACTATTGTTCCTATCAGTTTCCCTAGCACTGGCAAGCCCTAGTCGAATGTCAGACTTACGGGCCCATCGTTCTCTAGATCCCTGCAGCAGCCCTCTAAAAATACAGTTTATGCAGAAAGAAATGCACACCATTTCCACTGCTCTGGCATAGATGCTGCTTTAAGCAGTGGGTACCCTACCCTGGTTCATAGCAGGTAATTACCATGAGTGGCCCTGAACTTGTGACTCTTCATTTTATTCTTCCAAGATCTTCTAACTCTTCACTTTGAGACTTTTGATATGATTTTTCCCCCGCAAAAGCATTCAGATGTATGAATATTGCATGGTGGGAAATTCCTTTAACTTGTTTGCTCTACCTCTACCCTCTTTTGGCAGAGATCTGGCAGGCTTCTTATGTGCTCAGAAAAGACCTTACTAATATTTTCATACCTATTCTTTAAAACCCTCCAATTAGAGTCTTAAGGATTTCACATCCTGCACTCATTTAACTTGTTACTGTTAACACTAGAGGTACTTTTGTTTTAAATTTAGACCAATTCTCATCTGCTTATATTTTTTGAAAAATAAAGCATTTATGTTCACTGTCCATGACATTGCCATAGTTCAGACAGGACTGCAGCAATAGTAGTAGTCTGAGCTACATTCATTCCCAGTGACAAATCCAGAAAATTTGAAAATCTGGACAATACCTGCTGAAAAGTTCAGGCCAAAAAATACAAATAAGTTAAAAGGACTAGGACAATCATTCATGCTGCAATGAGACTACTCTCGTCTAATTATGGCCACTGACCTAGCTCAGGGACTGCTCATTGACCACTTGCGAAATCAGATGGGTCTGTGAAACATGGAGGAATCACAAGCAATGTTTAAGATATCGACTTAACACAGTAATATCTCAGTATTTGGTCCTAAGCGTCAACAAAGGGTCTTTTAAACATTAAATTTCAGAGAAAAAATAAACTGGTTGGCCATTTGAATGAGAACCCAGCTGTTTCATATACTTGGAATGACTACTGGAGACACCCAGTGGCTACTGAGTGAAATACGGAGCAGTAATGAGAGGAGAGAAAGGTGTGTAGTTTTTTTTTTTTTTGCTTTAGCATTGCGGACAATATATTACCAGGGCTGTGCATGCAATACCTATGATGTGCATAGAAAGACGGGAATGGGCTCTGAACTTCAAAAGTCCTCTCTAAAATTTTCCACTAACTGGCTGAAATTCTTTTTAAGAAACCTTTTTCAAGAATAAAAGCAGAGGTGAGAAGCACAGCAAAGTGGTTAATACACATAATTCTCAAATTCTTAAAACGCATGCAAAAAATGCAATCTTTTAAAATGCATTTCTTTTTTTAATCTCCGCTCCCCCTCCCGAACACCCGTTGGTGCTTTGAAGCAAGTCGGTAACAGGATTCCCACAGGGAAGCGTGCTCGTCGCGCGCATAGCGCCTCTTTTCGTGGAGAATAACGTAGCTCCCGCCGGCATGGGCTGCCCTCAGGATCATGGGGAAGCCGTCGCTTCCTCAGTACTGGCAGTTCCCCGCACTCTTTGTGAGTCACCGCGGGCGAGCACCGGAGGCTCAGATCAGAGGGCGCAGGGTGACCTGACCTTTCGCTGGCAGGAGGCTCTTGGGCGCCCCGTGAACTTTCCTCTGAGCTTGGGCCGCTGCCAAGCGGCCACACGCTTTGCTTCTGCGCCCACTCTAAGTAGCTCCTTTGGGTCGGGAGCGCAGGTGGCGGCACCAAGGCAGGGAACGCTCCATCTCCCCAAAACCCATTGAGCAAGCAGAAGGCTGCTACGCTCGGGACTTGGAAGCCGAAGAGCAACTTCGCTTCGCGCTGCAAACGTGAAAGAGTTGAGTGTAACACAGTAAGTTCTTAGAGCGCTGCCTGGTAATGCTGCTCTAAATAGCCTGCAATCCTACTGGCTGGAGCGGAGAATTATTCCTTCCAGGTGCAGCCCGTATAAAAACCTCTGGCGGGGGCATCCTCCGGCAGGGAATGCCCAGCGGCCTCGGCCACAACAGGTAACTGCTGCACGAGTGCTGCACTAACCCGGCCTCTGCTTGCTGCCGACTAACCAGCCCTTAGCCTGTGTGTGATCCCGAGGGCACAGGAGCTGCTGCACCGCGTGGGTCGCAGGATACGCAACGACAAAACCACTGCCCACCTGCAGCTGCTTTGCTCAGTGCGGCTGCAGCTGCGCGGTACCGCCTGAACGCAGCAGCACGGGAGCGAGCATCACCAAGGCAGACACTAATACGCCTGAATCATCAAGGATTAAGTCTGTCCTAGACTGCGCGACTAGAAAGAAACACTTGTTTTTACACCAGCTTACGAAATATCTTATTAATATTTATTGTAGTAGACTTGCTTCTTTTATACTTTAAGAAGCCCAGTGTGCTAGTGATGTGCAAACCCAGAATGAAAATGTAACCGTTACCTCCCCATCTAACTCAGGCAGCTGATGGATACAGGATCACACAGATCCCCAGCATCAGTGCAGCCACGGCAGGTGTTTCCTAGACCTCCTGACACTTTCAAAAGGGTTTTAATAAAAACTGACTGTTCTTATGAACATTTACGTGGAACTTCCTTTAGAAGACCTCAAAGGTCAAAAAGCAAAGAGAAGGCATTAAAAAAAATATTTTGAAAAATGTAACATAGCTAATTTTAACTATAAATCAACCTAAACTGTTATCGTTCATTCAGTAGATCTCATCAGAACACCAATTTTATTAGGTATTTTGCTGACAACAGAAACTTTTTTACTGCAAGTCCTTAACACTCCTTAACAAATTTATATTTACGAAAGGTGTTTTCTAAGATATTTTGTGGTGCTTGTTGCTGCATGCAGACAACTGAAATTGTGACCTGCTGCAGTGATAACTCATTTAAGCATGAAAGGATCACTCGTCACTAATCCTGACAAATTTAATAGTTTAATAATTGAACAAGTCTTCCTAGTTTCTACATAAGAGTACTGTATAATGTGAAGCTTCAGTCTGCTCTCTTTTTTCAAGATTAGGCTTTCATTTAAGTAAGAGATGTCAAGCTACAAGAGCCTTCTTGCCACAGTAAAAAAAGCCTTTGAAAATGTAGTTTTTTGCATAAAGAGAAAATTTTCAGCAGACTGAGGCCTCAAGGTTTTTTTTTTTTTTTGGCCTCTGGCTGTAAAAACCACTATTTCTTGCAGATTTCTTTCTTCTTATTATGTGTGTTGTCAAATACAAAAAAAGTTAATATATTTTTTCCCCCTCCCAGATTTCCTAAATAATTAAAACAAGGGCAGGCTGTGGTTCTAGCTTCAGGCATGAAAAAGCAGCACTGCTGCTGAGAAGTCAGGGTATATTTTTGAAAATGAGAGATTGACATGGAAACTACTTTTGCTTTTAAGAAGACAGGACTCTTCGCAAACAGGAGGAAAAAAAAAAAAAAAAGGAGAAATAAGAGAGATGCCTTCATCCATGTGCCAGGAAATACTGCAGCTGTGATATCGCGTTCAGTCTCTATCTTCATCACTCCTTGAATTATACAGAAAGTGTAATAGCCACAGGGTGGGGGGTGTGAAAAACGCCGGGGCCAGTTTACTTTATAAGTTAGCCCCGCAGGAGCCGGCGCCGAGGCGCTGCGCCGCACTGGGGAGCGAGCGCGGGCAGCGCTCCGCGCTGCCGGAGCCAGGGCGCAGGCCTGGCCCTTGCCTCAAACGGGGCCGCAATGAGGAACGTATCGGGTAGCAGCAGAACCGCGACAGTGTCGGGATCACGCGCGCCCGTAAATCACCCGCACAAGTCAGCAGTTACTAAGCTCTTTAAAAAACTACCTCCAGGCCGCGCCAAACCTGAGGAGCGACGCGGCCCGCGCTGCACCATCGGCTCAAGCGCAGAATCATCACGGGTGGAAAGGACCTTCGGAAAAGACAAAACCACAGCAAATATTGGCTGCAGACAGTCACCTCGCTTTACCACTGGAAAGCCGAGTCCTGAGGCTGTTTTGGAAAAATGGTTGTTTATATGGCCCAAACCAAAACAAACTAACAAAACAAAACAAAGCCCCACCTGGAAAGAGACAAAATAGTTTTCAGGGGCTACTTCAGTCCCAAGAAAGTTTTCCGATTGATTTAGTGATATTGGGGTAAGTTTGTATTGTCCACGTAGCTGGGGAAACACAGCAATACAATTGGAAGTTCAAATAAACGACACAGTAATTGCAATCGTTTCCACAGGATTAGGGAGGCTACCCTCTTATGATGGTTTCCTATTCTTTTAAGCTATCAACCTAAAAAGAAAAAAAAAAAAAAAAAAACTATCACTTTCCCTTCTGATAATGGCATCTTATGCAAACTGACTGTCCTTAAGCATTTACTTCATTAACTTTTTCCCCTTCCATTTCAGCTCTCTTGCTATGATCTCCACACAGCAGTCACCCTTCCTCAACAAAACCGGGAGAGCAGCAGACTGCCAAACGGAGGAGGAAGAAACCTGTGAAGACCAATATGACCCTGAAAACTGCACTCATGGCTCTGAACATGCATCAACAGCAGAAGCCAACTCAGGTTTAATCCAATTTAAATACTGCAACTGCTACGTCATGCTGTCTTTCGTACCTACTCTTTAGTTTACCGATCTTAAATTTTCATTATGGTGAAATCTATTTTTTCGCCATTTCTTCATATGTTTTTATTAATTAGATTAAAAAGCATCCCATCTTCATAGTTAAGACTACTTTTAAAGAGACGTTTTCTATGCAGCCATCTAAGGATTATTTCCCAATTACAATCACGGCTATGGTTACAGTATGCGATTACTGGGCTGGCACTGCTGAAGTTGTAGCACTACAAGTTTCAGCACAAGCTAAGTTGCTCGGACACCTATCAATGATCCTAGGTCAGCATCGATTAAAAACCATGCGAGCCAGAGCTGAACTTCCTAATATTTTGACATACTGATACATTACATGAGTTGAAGCGTCAGTTATTTGTTCTGAGGAGGATAATCCTGAAAGGTTTCAAAACTACCTGCAGTTAGAAGGTCCAAGGACATTTGGGGTTAGTGCTGGTGGCTGTTCTGCCCAGGATGCTGCAGTCACATTTCAGAGTTCGTTAAGAAGCTACAGTAAGATACCATGCTGACGACAGCAATTTGAAAATCCTCATCTTCAGTTATAAATTCAAAACACAAGGAGAGTTTTTTCCAATATTGAATGGGCAACCCAAAATTTCCAATGGGATTAATTTTCCCACAAATGAGAACTACTGTACTCCTGTGGTATGCCACAGCATAGTATAAACTATGGCATATCCTAGACTAAGATAACTTGTGCCTGAAAGACTCGCTAGCAGAGCTATAGATGTGAATGGGCAGATCCTTGACCCGGGCTTACTTCCACCTGCAGATTGTCCATGTAGATGTTCAGCCGGGAAGGAACCTTGGGCTCCCCAGGCCACACTGACCCCCTTGAACAGCAACTCACCCTGAGGCCAGCAACCCAACAAGCTTTTCCCCTGGCCCTTCCTATATCCTGTATTGGTGGATTATAGACATGTACATACACTTGTGAATTACATAGAAATATGTCTTAGCTTGTTAACAAGTTGCATAATGAAACACACACGTTTATGCATATAAAACTGATTTCTTCCTTTCTCCCCCAGATTCACCCGTGACTCTTAAAATACTACAGAACTGGGTTCCCAAAATTTCCCACTACTTTGATAAGGAACACTACACTTACGCGGGCCACCAGATCGTCATTCAAGAATCGATAGAGCACTTTGGAGCCGTGGTGTGGCCAGGTGTAAGTATTTGATAAGGCATGCAGAAAGCTAATGCCATATAAGAATACATCCTGACTACGGTGTACACGTATTTTAGAAGTTATTTTAGATAATACTTCTGACTAAGGTTTCCCTATGCAGAAAGGACTTGTGAAGTACTTTGACAGAAAGCGCTGACTGATGCTAATTTGACCTTTGTGCCTAAAGAAGTCTGGGATATTATAGTGAGCAAAAGGTAAATTCTTTCAAAAATTATGTGCCCCTTTCCACCTAAAGACCTACTCCCTCCCAAAAAACAAACTTGCTAGCTGTTGAACATGTAAATTTAATTAATACCAAGAAAGCAAAGATCAGGAAGTGTCCAGCTTATTGAGTCCAACCACTAGTCTTAGGTATTTTGCCATGTGAAAAACATGTTACTGGACTACCTCCCCTGTTGGATGAAACTGTGCACATCCCAAAACAAACCTCAGGTTTGTAAGATCCTTACAGAATGTTTTCTTCTATGCTTTTATTCCATAGTTTCTATGTATGCAGTTTCCATATGAAAGCAGCAGAATAAAGACAGCTATGTTACCCTAGATGATCCATAATCAGTTTGTTAGTGGATAAACCTTGCTAAATAGCCAATCCCCGCCCCCCCAAAAAAAAAGAGAAAAAAAAAAAAAAAAAAAAAAAAACACAAACAAAAAACCAACCCTATTTCCATACATGAAGATAACCTAAGGAAGGATTTTTTTGGCTTCTAATCTATGCATTTAAACTAAGACCTGGGGTCCCTTTATGCAAGATGGACACTTCTGAACAGGCAATTCAGTACCTGGAATTTACATATCTGAAGTTGGACATAGGATTACAAAAAGAGAATGTGAGTTCCCCCATATAAACATGTTATCTAAAGTCTTTATATGGAAAACTGTACTTGCAAACAGACTTGTAAGAACTTGTAAGAAGAGTTTTATGTGGACTCAAAAAACACTTCTGTAATTTTAGCTTCTCTTCCCTCAGAAGTTATAAAAATTACCATTTCAGATTTAAGATTCAGAACATTTACACTGGCATTTCAGACTTTTTCAGATCCACAATACTCACTGGGAAAAAAAAGCCACAGAAAATTGCAGACTATTTCAAAACAATAAAGAAACAGTGTACGAGTGGTTTTATTTTGAAGTGTCAGATCATCAGTTCTCAAACTAATCAGGTGTCAGAATGTGGACAGTAAATGTTTCCAAGAAAACCTAGAGGGTGCACAATTGGACTGGTGATTCATTAGTTGTCAGCTTTCTTAGAGCAGGTGCTCAGTGCAAAGCCCAAGAGTTAAAGCAGTAACAGTATGTCAACTCTTGAGAAGCAAAAACAGGAATTTAATTTCTTCAGCATCTGTTTATATCGTTTATGAAGAGCTAATTTATGTTCTACTGATAAGTTCTTTACAAAGACCTCATAAGAACTTCTCCTGTTCCCTTCACATTGTGGTAAAAATGTGTGACGTGTATTCTAATACTGACAGACAGGTAGTGTTGACTACCTTAATATCTCAGTAAATATCAATTTAACATTCTCCTTTCAAATGTATTAACATCCCCTGCCAAAATCAGTTTTCAGAAAGTCTCTGCTGTTTCCTGAACATAATAATCAATAAATCTAATAAAAAGAATACTGTCACAACACTGCTTTTTGCATTAAGCCTAATGTGTTGACTGTGTACATATCCAAATACAGTCAGTTTATCAGAGGAATCAAGAAGTACACAGACAAGAGTAGTAAAACCCCAGTCCCACCAATCTAGAAAATAAAAGTTACATTAAAAAAAAAAAAAACACCCTCCTCAAAGGACATTTTTTCTTCCCATACGCTGGTTACATGTTACAGCCCTCGGTGTTTTTCACTGTATACATAAACACATACAAACACCCTTACATGAACTCTCGTGCAACTTACCTAATTGATACCTTTTTGGGTGTGTGTTAACTTTTCAGGCACTGGCTTTATCTCAGTATCTGGAATCAAATCAAGAACGATTCAACCTCAAAGACAAAAAAGTTTTGGAAATTGGTGCTGGAACAGGCTTGGTTTCTATTGTGGCCTGCATCTTGGGTTAGTAAATTCCAATTCCTTTTGGATTTTTTCTGAAAGATGAACTACATATATTATCATTTTAAGACAATGAATGAACAGTTGTAATCAAGACTTTCGCCTTTTATTATAAAGCAACTCTCATTTTAAAAAGTAAATTCTGTTAAGGAAGTAACTATCCTTATTATTAACTGGGGGGAAGGAAGCAGCAGTAAGTTATATATGTGGATATTCCTACGTCTATACATAGCTATGAATTAAAACAAGTCCATTTCTTCTTCAGGTGCTTATGTTACAGCTACTGATTTGCCTGAAGTTCTTGAAAATCTTTCATTTAATATCTCAAAAAACACCAAAGACATGAATACGCACAAACCTGAAGTGAGAAAGCTGGTATGGGGAGAAGGCCTGAGCGAAGACTTCCCTGTATCAACTTACCGCTACGATTTCGTCCTGGCGAGCGACGTCGTGTACCACCACACAGCCCTGGAAGCCCTGCTAGCAACAATGACGTATTTTTGTCAGCCAGGAACAGTCTTGTTATGGGCAAATAAGTTCAGATTCAGTACAGACTACGAGTTTTTGGAAAAGGTTAGCAATATATTCGACACAACCCTGCTGGCAGAATTTCCAGAATCAAATGTCAAGCTGCTTAAAGCCACTATGAGAAAGAACTGAAGCAAAAACAACTGCTTATTTTAATTTACTGGCAGCATCTTGCAGTTTGGAATGTTTTATAGCATTACAATGCAACTATAGCACATTCTTGTCTGTACAGTTTTCAGTTTTTCACTAAAATATGAAAAAGGCAAGACAAATGATATATCAATGCCTTGAGTTTGTACATGTAATGTGTTCAAACAGACCCATTTCACACCACTGAAGGGACAATGTTGGTAGAGACAGTTAGTAGCAAGACGTTATCAGAAAGCACTGAATCTTCTCGTGTTTGTAAGGCATTTTCTTTCAACAGGTGTCACTTACATACTCTTGGAGAAACCAAGACAATTTTCAGCTTTATTATTTGTTTTTATTAATTATAAAATTTTTTTAAGTATCAGAGTGCACATGGTGTTTTTTGATCTTCAGTTTTGCACATTTATTCTGCCGTGTTTTACATTTTAAACATTATTAAACATATATGTATAGCTTTACAATACCTGATTAGGATTTAACTGTCTGGCACTTTTATACACGTATCAGCCTGTCCTGATACACAACTTCACACAGATTGAGTCTGCCTGAAATCACTCCAAAATGAAGATATACAAGAGCACCTATGCATCAGCAATTGAGTTACACATTGTGACCATTTGAGAGGTTGAATTTTTCGTTAAAAAAAAAATGTAAACCGTTGCAAACAATTCAGGTAATGATGTCCCATTACTACAGTCTAATAAATAAGATTTTAGCTACGCTTGATGTAGCTTTAAGGCCTTCATACAATTGAAAATGAAATTAAGATTAAACATGTTAAAATTGTTTACTGTAAAAAATACAGAGCTTTTACAGGTTTACAGTTAAAATTAACAGTTAAGAACCTAACTTGCATGCAATAAGCCTTCTCAGCCTAATCTCAAATCCTTGGTGTTGGCAGTTCTGGCACATCCATTGCCAGCAATGGGATGCACACTAAGGAAACTCCCTGATGTCAGGAGTTCAGTTCACAGGTATTAAGCTGTACCCAGGTGCCTTTACCGATAAATACACACAATTTAATAATCAGCATTCAGTAATGAAAACATGCGTTCCAATAAAAAGTCAAACTTAGCTTTTCATATCCTGCCCATATAAAATCACTTTAAAGTTTACAATTGTTGGTTTTCTAGAATACACAATAATCAGGTGGATACATGACAGGAAGCCAGTTTTCAGTGAAAGTTGCACAGTGAGTCCATCCAAGTAACTTCATGAGCTGAGGAAAAAAGAAACATAAAAAACATTAGAAGCCTTCTTTAAGCCTTACTCTCTTAATCCAAAGCCTCCTAAGGAACAACATACTGATGTCACTGCCTTAAAGAAAACTATAATCAGAAAGACAACAGACCAGAGATCATTGATACGTTTAACCCACAAAGGCAAATCGTAGAGCCCTACCTAATCTCCGGTCTTTCATTTGAACAAATAAACCTCACCTGAATGCAGTTTTTCAAGTTGTCCTTCGTTGGCTTCTCTTCAGCAAGTTTTGTTGCAAACTTGAGGCCTCTCCCATACATTTTGTTTACCAATGCATGCTTATAGGCAAAGGTCAAAACCTACAATGTGTAAACAAGAACAAATTAGACTTTAAAATATTTGAATCTTATAAGGCTTAACCAGTAACAAAGTCTGTTTAGGTAGCAGAAGTAATTCAAACAAAGCAAAACATTTACACAAGTTGGCTTGCAGGGTATTTCTGTAGTAAAGCTGATGACTCACAGTAGCAGCTATAAACATGAACATCCTAGAGCTTATTTCTGACTTCACAAATCTATCTGACTTCAGAACATCTTATATAATAGATATGTCCCCATTCAAATATATTTCTAGCTTCCTTGAACTTTAATCTCTAGAAGTCAGTTTGGTATATAAAAATCAGAAAGCAGGCAGTTATACCTTTGGCTCACAAAATCAGACACACGATTGTAAGGTTTGATTCGCAAGAAATCACAAACTTACTGCAGAAATGAATGTGAAAATACACAGTGAATGATTGTATATACAGACACACACACAGAGATATGCACATAAGTATAAACAAGCAATGAAGCCAGCATGAGGTACGCACGAAGAGAAGCCTCAGGTTTGGTCACTTTCTTAATCCTGATAATTCATTAAGAACAGATTATAAAAAAAAGCTTCCTCTTGATAATATTAGTTAGGAAAGACCTCATAGGTCAATGTTATAACTAACATGCAGAATCAATGTGTCTACTTTTTCATATGCAATGTAAGTGATAATATAAAACAACTGAAGACTGCCAGTGTTCAAAGTATTATGAGATACTTGATAATTTACTTCATTATGCTACCTCACCAGTTAAAAGCACTAAATACTAGTGCTCAAAGCATTAAGTTTCATATAGTCTTCTTTTATACAACCACAAAAAGCAATAACTGAAGAGTGATGCAAGTCAAAGATAATGAAATATGGCAAAATGGCTCACAATGTTTCTGTTGGCCAAACTTTCGTGAAGTCTGGCATTAGTTTGCTATTTACTTCCTCTCAGTACAATGTTTTTCCTTCTGACTCCTCCAATAAAAAAATAACAACAAAATCTTCAACGGCACTCAGTAAAAACACCCCACTAGTCAAAGCCAACAAAAAACACCCCAAAGATAACCAGAAATAAGTATTTTGCATTAACTGTAAGCATTTTGTAACTATATAAACATTAAGAAAACTAAGATCCTGATGCTGCAAAAACTAAAAGATGTAATTTTCAATCTCTGAAATATAGTCCAATCACTCACCCCATTCTCATTCTGTCTTTGAGTACTTACTTTGTTCTTTTCAAGTATTTACTTAAGCTGCTAGAGGTTTTGAATACTGAATTTTGCTAGTTTAAGCACACTCACATATATGCAACAATGAGCATACAGCACCATCCACATACAGATTTTCCAAGTATTGCTATTGGAAAAATATTCTGCATGCTGCACTGAATCCAAATATTTTGGATATTCTCCAGGAAAAACAAACAAAAAAAGACAACACACAAAACCATTAGCAAACACTTTTGACCAACTGCTCAGTGGATCCATTAGCAGATTTAGCTGGTTAAACTATACTTAAAATGATCCCTTCTGTAAAAGATGACAGAATCACAAAAGCAAAACAAAAATTAAATGGAAGATGTACTGGAGCTCTCAGCATATACAACATACGGGAGGCTAACCAGAAGTAATGCCACTGCTCTATGAAGAAAGCTCTTACCTGACCCTGTAAGTTTTGAATGGCTACAGAACATCAGTGATAAGGGCAGCAGGAAAGCCACTTGACACCAAGTCTTTCGTAACAGGGCTCCCTAGAGTTTTTGTAGCAAAAAAACAAAGCATTTTACGAAACACCCTTGCTCTGGCTAAGTAAAAAGCTGGGTACTTCTAACAGAAAAACAAAAAATTTGCCAGACCAAAGAGGTTGATTCAATTTTCCATGAGTTCGTAATAATACATGATAATTTCTGTTTTAATGTTGGAAAAACTATCAGCTATATACATGTTAAGTAAAACTACTAAAAGTTCAATAACTCATTAGTTAACTCGTTATCTACTATTAGTTCATTAGTAGTAAACTACTACTACAGTACTACTAAAAGTTTATTTTAGTTCATTAAAATTTCATTAGTTCACAGAACTAATGATTGAGATGCTTTAGGATCAGAACAGGTTTACAATCAAAGAAAGGGTTTAGATCACATTATAGTTTAACTTGAGCACATATTGGTAAAATTACGCCTTATAATTAAAACGTTACAAGCTTTACAATATCACTGAAGATGGTGATTCCTTGATACTTATAAACAAGTAGTGATCTGAAGTTCTATTAAGATGCAACAGAAACAGCTGCTGTTCTCATTACTTAACAAAAGCAGATAAACAATCTGTGTCATCTAAAAGCAGTTGATAGATGAAAGAATTAGCTGAAATATATTCTAAGTACATGATGATAGTTCCTAATTTCAATAAATAAACCGTCCCTTAAAGGAACAGCAATATGGACTATAAGTTGGCCAAAGTTCTGTAAGTAAAAGGTATTAAAAATATATATATACACCTCTTTCTAGGACACCAGGTAAGTGCTGCTAGATGGTGAATTTCCCACTAAAGACTTGTAAAAATAACTACACCAAGAGCCAGACCACAACGCTGGCCGCTACTCAGCCATCCAACTTGTCACTGACGATACTGATAACTCAGGTGTCTACATAATCTATTTATGATGATAAAGTTCTTAAATGATATATCTTAAGATATCTACAAAATTAAAATATTTTAAAGTCTGAAAACACTTCAAAAAACATTTACCCAGCAACACTAATCCAACAGATCCAACAAAACACTTCCAGCATTCTAGTCAAGAGGATTTCTATATAAAGGAAAACAAACTTGCATAATCCTTACATCATCATTTCAATGGCAGCTTAAAATGCATCCTTATTTACAGATAACTAAAATAATAGGTTATGTTGTATAATCTATAGATAAAGTCACTAGGTAAGGACTTTTTTTTGTATTTACCAAAAAGAGAATTTCTTCAGGTTCATAGATATTTATGGCAATAAACCAAAGTTTAACTATCTACACTGCCTCTCTCCTCTATCTACTAGTTTATATAGAGCAATATTCCTAAAGAGGAGGGAAAAAAAAAAATCAAGAGAGGGAAGGGAGCTAAGGGGATCAAATATCTTGCAGTTTTTGGCAGTGACTGAGTATGATCAGCTGGAATAGACCGAATTTGACAGCTGCATCTGACACAGTGTGGACAGTAATATGAAGACTAGGCTAACAACAGTAGTGGAAGATCCATATCTTTCATTTGTTTACTTATTTTTAAATGCAGATTTTTGCATTTTTGCAACCTCAATTTAAGCCATCTCAAAGATCAGGGGCTTAAAAAAAAAAAAAGTTTTAAACTCTACAGAGGAAACACCCCCAGTAACAAAATTAAAACAACATCCTTCTACTCTCTTCTACAGAAGTTTCCTATGAAATTGGAGATCTTAGCCTACAAATTTTAAAGCTATATTCTGGTTAAAACAACAAGAAAGTACAATTTATATGCCATTACTAAAACTTCTAAGTGCAATTATAAATGAGTTAGCATAATCAAAGAAATATTTACTGAACAGAGTCTGGGTTGGCTAGAGTTTACAGGGGATGTAAATATTTCCTTTTATATGCTTTAAAACAAACCTTCGGACACAAGTGATTTAAATAGAAGAGCTGGACTGTGAAGAGATGTACTTTCTGTGAGGGCCACTACCAACTTCCCTATGTGCTTGCTACACTGTGACAGCAGGCTTGGTACTTCAGTGGAAAAGAGCAGTTCAAAGCCCCTTAAGAAATGTCCTGTGGCAAAACAGGTAACATGACTGCAGCAGACAACGAAACCCAGGATACTGTTGGGTCTACTAGAGGGTGAGCAAAAGCAAAGCGGGGACAGATTTCCCGATGCATCACTAGGAAAAGCACGGAATAAAACACCATCTCTGCTTCCGAAAATTCACTTAGCTTTTTAGTTACTGTTACCTGACAAACTTTACCTGCGCCGCCGCGGCCCTCCCTGCCGCGCGGGGGGCTCTCGGTTGAGGGACATTCAGGCAACGTGGTCTACTCTACATTCCAGTATCATCACACAAACACGATTAGAGCAGATTTTTTTTTTTTTCTTTTTGCCTTTTAGCAAATTCTTTTTTTTGCCAAGCGCAATGCAGCTGGGCTAAAAAAAATATTAACAGCATGAATGCTCGTTCCTTTACCTAAGCAAAAAGACTTGGCTATTGCTCAGACATAACCTCCTTAGAAACTTTAAATGTATTTTACAAAATTAAGATGGTCAACATTGTT